CCAGACTGGAGTGCAGTGGCCGCTCCCGGCCACTGCAGCCTCAACCTGCTGGGCTCCGGCGATCCTTCCACCTCAGCCTTCCGAGTAGCCAGAATTACAGGTGCGCGCTACCACGCCAAGCTGATTTTTGGTTTGTTGTAGAGATGAGGTCTCGCCAAGTTGCCCAGGCGGGTCTTGAACCCACGGGCTCAGGCAATCCACTCACCTCAGCCTCCCAAGGCGTGGGATTACAGGTTGAGCCACCGAGCCCAGCTTGGATATATCTTTCTATAAGGGTTATTAAGGTATACCTATTTTTAAGAGTCTCCTAAGAATGTCTGAATGGTTAGAGAGAAGTAGATGCTTTGAAGAGCAGGATATTCAGGCAACTTGTTATCTTCAACTGCACCGAAATGTATGACTTCAACACATACTTCTATGATTTCTTGCTAACTATATGCACTTCATATAATTTCAGGAATTATTTAATTCAGGATTGAAACAAAGAAATATACTTTGACAATTTACCTAACAATGTCATAAAATTCCAATTGTTTAGGTATCATACCTTTCTTTGTTTTTAGAGATGGGGTCTTGCTATCACTGTGTTGCCTAGGCTGCTCTTGAACTCATGGGCTCAAGTGATCCTACCACCTCAACCTCCTGAGTAGCTGGAATTACAGGTTCATGCTGCTGTGCCAAGCTACAGGTATCATATCTGGCAATCCTTTTGCACAGCAACCTCTCTCTCCACTTCCCCAATATAGCTAAGCATGGCCCTTAACACTAAACAGTCACCACACTTGATACAGCTTTCCCTACCTCTTACCAATGCTGCCTGATCAGAGAGGCAATGGAAAATTTCAGCATGTGCGCACATCTTGGCATCATAATATGCTAGCAGGTAATACAAATAATAACTTAACATTTGTGTCTGTTATCTATGAAGTAGGTACTAATATTCCCATTTTGCAGGCTGGAAAGTAGAGCAGGGAAGTTAAGAAACTTTGCAAATGCAAAGTTCCACTCTCTTAAACACTCTTGTATGCTCTCTCTCAAAATGTTACTGTCTGCTAATAAGGCACTGAGGTTGGAACTGATGATGGTGGCGGTATTCTTGTATGCTCTCTCTCAAAATGTTACTGTCTGCTAATAAACTGAGTTGGAACTGATGATGGTGCCGATTTTGGCCAGATATTCATGTGCAGAAGAATTGCATTGTGGGACAATTCTCGAGTCTTACCTACTTCACCTAAATGCATTCACACAACTTTTTTTTTCTTTTTTTAGTTAGAGTCTCACCTCTGTTGCCCAGGCATGATCACTGCAGCCTCAACCTCTTGGGCTCAAGCAGTCCTTCTGCCTCAGCCTCCCAAGTAGCTGGGACTACTGGTACATGCCACCACACCCAGCTAACTTTTTAATTTTTTGTAGCGACCAAGTCTTTCTTTAATGCCCAGGCTAGTCTTGAACTCCTGAGCTTAAGTAATCCTTCTGCCTCAGCCTCCCAAAGTGCTGGGATTACAGGTGTGAGTCACCGTGCCCAGCCTGCATTCAGCAAATATTTTCCTTTGCCTACCAGGTAACTTTTCTGTCACCTTCAGTTACCCTCCCTTTAGTAGCTTCAGTTTTTCTCCAGAAGTCTCCTCTGTTTTCACACATGTGTAGCAAAGACTGAGGTGTCTGGTGTTGGGGAGACTTGATGACTGGCTAGGGGATTGCCATCCTTTCATGTAAAACACATCCATGAAGACTCCAAGGTCTGAGGCAGGGAGAATATGTTCCAGGCTGTTATGAGGAACTAACAAACTACTCTCATTACTTTCTGAGTCTTATTTCAGTGGGAATCTTTGAATCTGATCATTGCTGATGCACCCATGTCCAGACCCTAATGGCTAAACTAAATATTGTCCCTTGTGCTGATCACCTGGGCTAGAATGAAATTTTTAAAAGTGAAACCATGGCTGGATGTGGTGGCTCATGCCTGTAATCCCAGCACTTTGGGAGGCTTAGGCAGGAGGATTGATTGAGCCCAGAAGTTCAAGACCATACTGGACAACACAGTGCGACCTTACCTCTACAAAAAAATTAGCTGGGAGTGGTGGAGTTCATCTTTAGTCCTAGCTACATGGGAGGCTGAGGCAGAAGGATCGCCTGAGCCCAGGAGCTCAAGGCTGCAGTGGGCCATGATTGTGCCACTGCACTACAGCCTGGGTGACAGAGTGAGACCCTTACTCAAAAAAAAAAAAAGAAAAACCATAAGAGAGAAGAAAGGAAACAAAAGTGGAAAATACAGGTAGAATAAAAACAATCAACTCTACAAAGTTTTGTTTTCTGCTTCTAACATCAGAAGCTGTGCAGAGTAGAAAACTGGAAGCATCTGTGGAGAGTCTGACTTAGCTGGTCTGTGGTGGGTCCCAGCTACAGTTATACTGTATGATATTACTATAGTTAATTAAGTGCAGCCACAGTTGAGAACAACTTTCTTATCGAGTCACACGTTTGTGAGCAGAATCCTTTGTGCTTCCTGCTTTCTTTAGTTTTATTAGTGAATAAACTCCAACAAGAAGAATGAATACAGTTCTGATTCCAAATCACATTTTACCTCTTGTCTTCAAAACTCTTGTGTCATAAGGGTTGGTTGGCACAGTGGGAGGGAAGGGCTGGCAGTTGTGGGCTCTGACGCCCGTGTAGAGATCCTCAGGCGATGTAAAGGTCGGGAACATGGCGCCGCGAGAGATGTGGGTGTGGAAGGGGTGTTCAATGGGGTATGGCGAGCACGTCTCCCTAGGAGTTATTGTGTAAGAAAATAAAAAAAACAGAAGAGAAAACAGGAGTGAAAAACCAATCACCAAATATTTATTGGGACCTTTTTTTTTTGGAAGAAGCTGTTCTAATTCCTGGGGATGTGACACAGAGCCAGACAGAGTCCCTATGCTCATAGAGTTGGCATCCTGGTGTAATGCATACCACAAAGCCGAACATTTTCTTAATTTTGTTAGACAAAACTAAATTTAATTTTTAAATCATGCCTAATTCTTTATCAGTGAATAACTTTTATAATTGGTACAATAACATAAAGCAGGAGATAAATGAATTATGTGTTTTTAGAATTGTATAGTAAGAATTTCTGGTTGCTTTTAACTCCTGCTTCTTATTTTAAGAGGATCCCAGTACTTTATTTTATGGAATCATTTTGGGCATTCAGCTTCAGTAATGCAAAGGGATCTCTAACCATCCTGGGCTGAACTTTGAACCCAGGCCATCTGCTTCTTTAAGCAATCAACCACAAAATATATTGCCTGCTTATGTACACAGTACTGTCTTTTTGTTTTTTGTTTTTAGATTAGAAAATATAGTTTATTTAAAAACTAAGTTAGAAACAGAGAATGAGAGAGAGAGAAAGAGAGAGAGAGAGGGCCTGGACATAGCTCAAAGAGCACATGGCCACACCATAGCTTAGCAAGGCAATGGCCCACAGTACTGTTGCAAAATCACAAAGCAAAAAATAGCTAGTACACTGAAGGAAACAATTAACAAGTTAAAAAGACCACAAGGATATAATTTTCCTATCATCTGGAGAACTGGCAGAGGTTAAAATTAAATACAAAACAAAACATGTGGGAGCTGTCTAAACTAGAAGAAAATTGAGATTAGGAAATCTGCAGGATAGAGAAATGTTATCCATAATAAGAAAACTAAGTAGAAGAAAGCAAGACCTGTGTTACGGGTAGAATTGTATCTCTCCCCCCACCTCCCAATCCATATGTTGAAGTCATAACATCCAGGACATTCCTAATACTACATATTGTGACTTTATGTGGAAATAGGGTCATTATAGATATATTAGTTAGAATGGAGTTACTCCATACTGGTGTAGGGTGGATCCCTATTCCAATATGACTGGTATCCTCAGAAAAAAGGGAAATTTGGAACAAACACTTAAGGAGAATGCCACATGAAGATAAAAACAGATCAGAGTAACACATCTACAAGCCAAGGAATGCCAGAAATTGCCAGAAAAGCCCCAGAAGCCTAAACCCAGCAAGTTGAGGCTGCGGTGGCCGTGATAGAGTGGGTGACAGAGTGAGACTTCAACTCAAAAAACAAGCCAAAAAACCCCCAAAACCCCCAAATTCCAGAAAACCTAGACCTTAATTTTAATAGCCTTTTCAGTAGGTCTTTGCCTTAACTGAAACAGAATTTCAGTAGGTCTTTGCCTTAACTGAAACAGAATTTTAAGTGTTAGTTTAATATTTTTAGTTAAGATTGATAGGGAATTTCAGTAGCACAGAGAACACGCAGTGCTCAGATGTTGGTTTCTTTTTTCTTTTTTGAGTCGGAGTCTCACTCTGGCGCCCAGGCTGGAGTGCAGTGGCACAATCACAGCTCAATTCAGCCTTGACCTCCTGGGCTCAGGTGATCCCTTGACTCAGCTTACAGAGTAGCTGGGACTACAAGCACGTGCCACATGCCTGGCTAATTTTTTTCACTATTTTTTTGTAGAGATGAGGTCTTGCTATTTTACCTCGGCTGGTCTCGAACTCCTGGGCTCAAGTGATCCTCCCACCTCAGCCTTCCCAAGTGCTGGGATTAAAGGCATAAGCCACTGTATCTAGCCAGGTCTTGGTTTCTAATACCAGTCTCTGACAAGAGGAACCGGGGTTTCTTGGAGTTATGACTGATTTTAGGAGTGGGGAAGGAAATATCCAAGATAAGGCTAGAGTATCTTATAGTGCCAGAAAGTAAAGAAATGCTAAGAGAACCCTCCCAAACCCCATAATGATGGGGAAATGTCAAAGAAATATAGGAGTGAATTAAAAGAGCTCCTCATGGCTTATTTGAGTAACAAAATAGGGTGGTACTGGATTACTACCTAAGTACAAGGGCAAAAGAGACTTCTAAAATCCCATACTGGCATAAATAAGTGATTGAATAATTATTCAGTGGAGCAGAATAGAGAAATCTCCTACATAGGAGAATACCAAATAATTACGTAGGCACTGGGGCATCCCATGAGACATCTGACTAATAATCCTCCATATTATCAGGGTCATCACAACAAGGAAAGCCTGAGAAACTGTCATAGCCAAGAGAAGCCTAAGGAGACATGAAGGCTAAATGTAGTGTGGTATCTTGATGAGATCCTGGAGCAGAAAAAGGGGAAAGCTGAACAAAGTATAGACTTCAGTTAATACTAACGCATCAATATTGGTTCATTAACTGATAAAGGTGTCATATAAATGAAAGATGTTAATACTAGTGGAAACTGGGTGTGGAGAATTTAGGAACTCTATCTTTCCTATAATTCTATAATCTAAAACCATATTAAAATCAAAAGTTTACTTTATTTTATGTGATTTTATTTTATTTTTGAATTGGAGTCTCACTCTGTCACCTAGGCTGGAGTGCAGTAGTGTGCTTATGGCCACCATAGCCTCGACCTGCTGTGCTCAGGTGATCCTTTCGTCTCAGTCTCCCAACTAGCTGGAACTACAGGCAAGTGCCACCATGCCCAGCTTTAAAAAAAAATTTTTTTATTTACTGTAGAGATGAGGTCTCACCAAGTTGCCCAGGCTGGTCTTGATCCTGTGGGCTCAGGCAATCCTCTCACCTTGACCTCTCAAAGTGCTGGGATTATGGGCGTGAGCCACCACACCTGGCCAAAAGTTTATTTTAAAAAAGACTTGCAGGGGATATAATTGGAGATAAATCAAAATAATGTTACCTTGTACTTGTACCAGCCTTTTGTTCCAACTGTTAAAAAATAGCTTTTGGTCATTGCTTTACTAGACTCTTGTGTGGTCATGTGCTCTCTGAGTTATGGCTGTCACCATGTTTCCTGGCTGTGGCCCCCTCTCCTCCCTTGGGGAGGTGAATCATCTCTTTTTCTCTCTCTCTTATCTATCTCTTTATTTATTTATTTTTGAGTCAGCGTCTCACTCTGTTGCCCAGGCTGGAGTGCAGTGGCACGCTCATGGCCGCAGCCTCAACCTGCTGGGCTCAGGTGATCGATTCTGCCTCAGCCTTCCAAGTAGCTGGAACCACAGGCATGTGCCACCATGCCTGGCTAATTTTTTTATTTATTGTAGAGATGAGGTCTCGCCATGTTGCTCAGGCTGGTCTCAAACCCTTGAGCTCAGGCAATCCTCTTACCTTCACCTCCCAAAGTGCTGGGATTACAGGCTTGAGCCACAGCACATGGCCTCTTTCTCTCTCGCTCTAATTTACTTTATTTTTTATTTTTATTTTTTTTTTAGTTGGAGTCTCACTCTGTCGCCCAGACTGGAGTGCAGGGGCTGCATCTGGCCACCGCAACCTCGACCCGCTGGGCTCCGGCAATCCTTCCACCTCAGCTTTCCGAGTAGCCGTAATTTACTTTAAATAAACTATATTTTACAATCAAAAAAAAAAAATAGCTTTCATGAAAAGTCTCACTTGTTCTTATGCTTGTCTAAGATGTATGGAATAGCAACATATTTTTTTCTTGATTATAACAAGGAAGGAAAAGTTGTATACTTACCCTACTGTTGAATTAGGTGGTTTGGGTAACCTAGAATAAAAAAAAGAAAGCAAGTCCCAGTGTACATTAAGGGCTTTTTAAGGCTTGTATTCTTATCAGAGACTTGATTAAGAATAACGATATACCTCATGTTCAAACTATGGTGTCATTAAGATAATATTCCTGATTAACTTTCCGGATCCCTGAATATTGATGAGCCAGACAGACATGACCTTTGCATATTTCAGTTGTCTGTTGATTAATTTCCATTCCACATAGTATAACTTCAGTTCTGCTCGCTACTCTTCTACATTTCTTATTTGCGGTGAATGTATAGGGCTGACCACTTCTAGTCACAAAAGAGCTCTAGTTTTTCCTGACCTTTACTCTCATAATCAGGCAGCAAAGTACTCGAGGGAGCCTGACATCACACAAGTGGTGCAATTGCGTGACCTAAAATGACCCAAGGGTGGCATCATTGGAGAGGATCTGCAAGTACCACGTGTGCATTCTTCCTTTACCCAGGGTTGCTGATCTTTCGTAATAAATGCTACCCAGTTGACAGAGGGAGGATAGGACAAAACTAGCCACATTCCTGGAGGTGTGCCTTTTCTGAACCAGTTCATTCTGAGGTTGTATACTTACTAATGAGTCTGAACCCTGCTTGCCAAGAAATAATACTATAGCCCTGGAAAACAGTCCACTAAACAGGGCTAGTTAACCTCCTACATTTGATTCCAACAGTTAGTTTTAGCCCATGCAAATAAGACTGAAAGATTTCAGGCATGAGAAATGAACAGAATGTTATCCATTTGATAATAAGATCTGTAAAATTGAATACACGATTTAATTTTGTAGATGTTCCTCCATGCTAGAAGATAGATATTCACTATACAGTAGTATGTGACTCATATACTTTTATTATCCTATAATGTATTATAAGCACACAATTCATATGAACCATAAAAGTTTATCTGCATCTTTACTTGGACTCTCAATTTGTGGGCATGGAACTAAAAAAGGCATATTGTTGAGTTGGAGAAATGGGATGGGGATGAACAGGGAAATGATGAGTCTATGAATCCAAGGAATCTGAAGTCTCTAGATGGACTATTATATAGAAAACATTAAGTTGGATCTAAGTTGTTCTCAAGTGACAAATTCTGCTATAGTATTGATAAGTATGTATCTAAAATGGATTTGATTGAAAATGGAAAAAAATTAAAAATATAAAAGAAATTTTTGTAAAAAGTCAAAATTTGAAAGAATAAAATGAAGGTAATAAATACTCAGAGACACCACCTCCCTGACCCAAAGCAGTCCTTTAGTTGTATCCACATCTACTGTGCAAAATTCACTGATCCCAGAGGGATAAACCCAGTCACAAATTTTGTCTTTTTGGCTCCCTCTAGTGGCTAAACTCTATATTAACGTCTAACCTATAAACAACTACCAAAGATACAGAAGTGATAGTTTCATTGTTACTTCAGTGCTGTCAGCGTTTTATTTTTTTCTGAAAATAAAAATGTATGTTTTTGTAATATGCATGACAAACTTTCAAAGGATAAAAAATAATATATTGAAAAACAATATCTTTAAGCAAAGGGTAAATTAACAACTATTCCTTATCCAATAAATAAATAAACAAATAAATAAAATAAGGCTGGGCACAGTGGCTCATGCCTGTAATCCCATCACTTTGGGATGCTGAGCTGGGAGAATTGCTTGAGCCCAGGAGTTCAAGACCAGCCTAGGCAACACAAGGAAACGTCATCTCTACCAAAAATTCCCCCTCAAAAAAAAAAAAAAAAAAAAAAATTAACTGGGTAAAATGATGTGCACCTGTAGTCCCAGCTACTTGGGAGGCTGAGGTGAAAGGATCGACTGAGCACAGGAATTCAAGGCTGTGGTGATCTGTGCCACTACACTCCAGCCTGGGCAACAGAATGAGACAAAGACTCAAAAATAAATAATAAGAAAGATACTTAAGGAGTAATTTTATTGAGAGTTGTTTGAAGATGATCATGAGAAATCTCTTTTCTCATAAAATTCTTATTAAAAATTTGTTACCGGGCACAGTGGCTACCGCCTATAACCCCAGCACTTTGGAAAGCAGAGATTGCCTGAGTCCACAGGTTCGAGACCAGCCTGAGCAACACGGTGAGACCTCATCTCTACAATAAATCAAAAAATTAGCTGGACATGGTGGCGCACACCTGTGGTTCCAGCTACTTGGAAGGCTGAGGCGGAAGGATCAATAGCCTGAGCCCAGTAGTTTGAAGCTGTGGTGGCTGTGAGTGTGCCACTGCACTCCAGCCTGGGCAACAGAGACTCTGACTCAAAAAAATAAAAAATAAAAAAAAAATGGTTGCAGGCCACTGTGGCATTTTCTGTGACTCTTTTAAAAAATGTAACAGGCTTAGTGGCTCAGCCTGTAATCCCGCGCCTTTGGGAGGCTGAGGTGAGTGGGTTGCCTGAGCCCGCGGGTTTGAGACCCGCTTGGGCGACTTGACGAGCTCTCATCTCTACAATAAATCAAAAAATCAGCCGGGCGTGGTAGCGCATGCCTGTAATTCCGGCTACTCGGAAGGCTGAGGCGGAAGGATCGCGGGAGCCCAGCAGGTCGAGGCTGCGGTGGCCGGGAGCGGCCACTGCACTCCAGTCTGGGCGACAGAGTGAGATTCCAACTCAAGAAAAAAAGAAAAAAAAAGAAATGTAACAGACTCTTATTAGATTAAGTCAAAGGCAGGGAAATGGACCAAAATGATCTGTAAAAATCCCTTCAAACAATACTATTCATTATCTTCTATTTTTTTCTTTATTTGCTTAAATGCTAAAAACTATTAGTTTTCGGTTTATTTACTTTTTTTGGTTTGGTCTTGATTTCTAGTGTTAACGAGCTCTGCTAATAAAAGGAAAAATTTGCTTTTCTAAAAGTTCCCGTTTTGGGGCAATTAAGTTTATCATTGGCTTATTTCCACTTAAAAGTGTTTTTTTTTTTTTTTATCCTATGTAAAACAAAACAAAAAACAGACTTACAAAGAATCATTTTCATAGATGTCACTTTTTTTGTTCTCTGTCAAATAATAGAATTGTTCAATAGGAAGCTTTCTGAAAAGAAAGAAAAGATCAGATTGAGCATATTTTTAAATTAATACAGTGTAATGATGAGGTAGTAAAAGACAGATTAGTACAATCTTATATATACACAGTAATTCAGTATAGGAAAAGGTGGCGTTTTAAATGAGTGGAAAAGAATTTCCAATACAGAAAAAAAAATCACTATCCATTTGGAAAATAACCCATCTCTATTTCATGTTGTTGAGAAAGATAATTTCAGATGGGTTACAAATCTAAAGAATTGGGGGAAAAGACTATAAAAATATTGAAAGAGCCGGGCATGATGGTTCACACCTGTAATCCCAGCACTTTGGGAGGTGGAGGTAAGATTACTGCCTGAGTCCAGGATTTGGCGACCAACCTGGGCAACCTGGTAAGACCTCGTCTCTATGATAAATAATAATAATAATAAAATAACAGTAGTTCCAGCTACTTGGAAGATTGAGGCAGAAAGATCATGTGAGCCCAGCAGGCCAAGGCTACAGTGGCTGGGAGTATGCCACTCCACTCCAACCTGGGTGACAGAGTGAGACTCTTTAAAAAAAAAAAAAAAAAAAAAAAATATATATATATATATATATATGTAGTGTACAAATAGATTTTTTTCTTTGGTGGTAGAGAGGACCTTTAAAATAAGATTTTTCTTTTAAAAGTCAAAAGGTGCTGAGTGCGTTGGCTCAAGCATGTAATCCTACCACTTTGGGAGGCTGAGGAGAGAGGATTGCCTGAGCTAAGGGGTTCTAGACCAGTCTGGGCAACTTGGTGAGACCGTGTCTCTACAATAAATCAAGAAATAAGCCGGGCGTGGTGACGCACGCCTGCAGTTCCAGCTACCTGGAAGGCTGAGGTGGAAGGAGCACCCGAACCCAGCAGGTTGAGGCTGCAGTAGCCATGAGTGTGCCCAGCCTGGCTGACAGAGTGAGACTCTGACTAAAAAAAAAAAGTCAAAAGCTGTTGGGTGCAGTGGCTCAGCCTGTAATCCCAGCACTTTGGGAGGCTGAGGAGAGAGGATTACCTGAGCTCAGGGATTCGCGACCAGTTTAAGCAACATGGCGAGACCTTGTCTTTACCATAAATTAAAAAATCAGCAGGACAGCCGGGCTCGGTGGCTCAGCCTGTAATCCCGCGCCTTTGGGAGGCTGAGGTGAGTGGATTGCCTGAGCCCGCGGGTTCGAGACCCGCCTGGGTAGCGAGACCTCATCTCTACAATAAATAAAAAAATCAGCCGGGCGTGGTAGGGCGTGCCTGTAATTCCGGCTACTTGTAAGGCTGAGGCGGAAGGATCGCCGGAGCCCAGCAGGTGAGGCTGCGGTGGCCGGGAGTGGCCACTGCACTCCCGTCCGGGCGACAGAGTGAGACTCCAACTCAAAAAATAAATAAATAAAAAATAAAAATAATAAATAAATAAATAAATAAAAATCAGCGGGATATGTTGGCACATGCCTATAGCTCCAGCTACTTGGAAGGCTGAGGCGGAAGGATTGCCTGAGTTCAGCAGATTGAGGCTGCAGTGGCTGTGAGTGTTGTGCCACTGTACTCCAGCTTGGGTGACAGAGTGAGACTCCAGTTAAAACAAAACAGGTAAAAAACTGAAAGGAAATTCGATAATATCAAATTACAAGCTTCTATATGGCAAAGGATACCATAAAAATCTCCAATAAAAGTTGGAAGAAATATTTGCAAAGATAACACATAAAGGACTGATATCCAAAACATAAGGAACCAACAAAAATCTATAAGTAAAATACAAACAATAAAAATGGGCAATGAATAAATGCAGGAAAAGAAATGTCAATGGCCGTACATAAAAGATAAATATAAGAAAAAGTACTCCACCTAACTAGTAACCAGAGAAATACACTCTTACAGCCATGATACCCTTTATATTCATTAGATGGTCAAAATTATACAGTCTGGGAATATCATACAGATAGCTGAGGGTGCGAGGGAATGGATACTTTTAGATGCTACCATGAGAATATAAATCATTCAGGCTACATCTACTAAAATTAAAAATATTCATATACTGTGACCCATTTAGGATTTGCCCTAGAAAAACATTTATTCATGAGCCCAAGGAGTCCTGTACAAGGATGTTCATGACAGTATAGTTAAAGTTAAAAGAGAGAGAGAGAGAGAGAGAGAGAGAGAGAAAAGGAACAATATGTGTATGGCCAGTAATCTATGATGCATCCATATTGTGGAGCACTACGAGGAATTAAAAAGAATGGTGCAGCTCTGTATTTATCTGTATTTATTGCCATAGGACAATTTCTAGATTGTAGAGAGAAGAAAATCCCACGTTGCTTAATACTACATGTCAAATGATTCCTCACAACAAAATGACACCAGGTATTTTCAAAGGGCACATGTGTAATTGTGTAAATACACAGCAAAAGGTGAGGAAAGAGACATGCCAAAGGGTACCAGTGTTTCTTTCTAGGGAGGCAAGTGGGATTGCAGGCTGGTGGTCCAAAGAGAATGGACCTTGCCTGTAATGTTTTCATCCAGGTTGTGTTCCACTGTCACTTCTGGCTGCCCAGTGCCTTCTGAATGCCCAGCCATGTTTTTATAGCGAGTGTACTGTGAACTTCATCACCAGAGTCCAAGAAACTTGCTGGTCCAGCCTGTGAATTCCCTGGGGTGTAGGGGCTATTTGTACCCTACAAAAACACTCACCAAGAGAACCCCACAATTGAGATGTTCTTAGTAATCAGGTAGATAAGGTGACCAACTCTGTGGACGTTGGCCAGGTTTTTTCCAATCACTCCTGGGCTTGCTCAGTGGTTTTATAATGTTATCTTGGGGGCTGTGCAGAAGCAGAAGCTGTTATATATGAACATGAATTTCTTTTCACCAAAACTCACCTGGCTATTGTCACATTTGAGTCTGCCAGCAGAAGTGACCAATTCCTGGGTATACTAGTCACCACCTGGTGGTAGGCTGATTTCACTGGACCCCTTCCATCATGAAAGAGTTAATTTATCCTAAGACTAGACATGTCTTCAAAATATGCATTTCCCTTCCCTTCTCACCACGCTTCTGCCAGTAACACCATGGGCGGACTTGTTGCATGTCTTACTGCCACGCTATCTTAAACAATATTCCTGTTGACTAAGGAACTCAATTGATCACAGAAGAAATTGGGCAATGATTGGCAGAAATCAAAGGATTCACCGATTAGAGTGGCCTACTGAAGATTCATTTATGGGTGAATGTTGTCCTGAAGAGTGCAAGACAGGCTCGAACCAGTGACCAGTAAATAGATGCCCTCCTAGCTAGAATCATGGTCTAAATACCAAAGGATGGAAGGGGAGTGGTGCCTCTCACTACTGACTAGCTATTACATTTGAGGATATTTTACTTTCTCCCCAGCCACCTTGAGCTGTGCTGGTTTAGAGGTCAAGGGAGGAATGCTTTCATCAGGGGCTGCAACAGTGGTTCTATTGCATTGGAAGCTGAACTGATGATGATGTAGGGTTCCTGACTCTGGTTACAACAAGCAAGAAGGATCTACCTAGCAGGCTGGGATGACTGATCTGGAGTATCAGGGGCCAGGGAATGGCTGCTATACAGTGATGGGGAAAGGAGCATTTCTGGGACCTGAGGAATCTTTTGGACACCTAGTATTGTCTCCAGTGGCATAAAGTTACTGGAATACTGTAGTGGCTTTCCACGGGCAGAGCCACCAAGAGTTTAGATTTCTCAGGAACATAGTTTTGGGTTGTTCTACCAAATAATTCCTACTAGCTTGGGTACTGGCTGAGGAGAAGGGAGCCTGGAATAGACAGTGGAGGAAGGAAATTATGACACCAACGTTGCCTCATGACCAGTTGCAGAAATGAGACTCATGGTCACTTATGTTTTCTTCCTTGTGGTGTCTTGCACATTTCATACATATTAACTACTTTTTTCCCCCTTATTATTTCATGTAGGTTGTGTTGGCAATGGTTAACTGAAATTAAAATACAGAGAGGTGTAGACTATCAGAACAAGATTGCAGCTGAACTAGGGAAAGTGAACACTTGGTGCTGGGTGCAAGAACTCATGAGACTTTGGGTCACCTCTTTTGGGGAAGTCAATGCCTTTTCATCTGTGTGAAAAACACATGGTATTTCCTTCCACTGAAGCAGCAATTCTCAAACTTTCCTGCATATTGGAATTACCTAAGGGATCTGGTTAAAAATGCTGATCCTGTTCAGTAAATCTGGGCAGAGGCTGAGACTCTGCAACCACCATCTCCTGGGTGACATACAGGCTGCTGGTCCGTGGGCCACACCTTGCATAGAGAAGCGTGAAAATTATTGCTGCCGCTGTTGTGCAGGAATACAGGTGACTGGCACCCGTGCCTATCTAAGATCTTTACAATGCCCTCTCTACATTTTGCTAGCCTCCCACATTTGGAACATTCTACTTGCTCCGATGAAATCCAGAAATCTACCTCCCTAGCAGCTAGGGTGCAAATGTGCCTGTGTTCTGCCGGTCATCCACATCTGTGTGAGACTGTGATTTGACTGTGAGTTGCCTGAGAACACAGGCTTCATGTGGGCACCCACATTGTTAAGGAGGTGGCAGCAGAGAGGTCCAGCATTAACAGAGACTCTTCCTCCTGATGAGCCAGTCCTGAGAGTGAGGCTGCCCACTGTTCCTGGAAGCTGAGCAATCCGCCTGTTTCTCCAGCCCTCCCACAGATTTAAGAGATAATCCATATCTCTACATTTGGGATATCAGTCTTCCTTCTTATGAATAACTATGCTTTAGAGCCATAATTTTTTTCTTTTTCTTTTTTCAGAGGTGGTCTCTCATTATGTTGCCCAGGCTGCCTTAGACTTCTCGGCTTAAGCAATCATCCTGCCTCAGCCTTTTGAGTGGTTGGATTACAGGTGTGTGCCGCCATGTCCAGCCCACTTTTTTCTTTTTATTGCTTTAACGTCCTTATTTTTCCCTCTGCATTTTCTGTGATTTATTGTCTTTGTACTATCAAGTCAATTTTTAGTCACTCCTATTTCTGGCTTCTTTGTCTTTCTTTATATGTAAGAGTGCTTTGGTGATGCTGGTGTTTTCTCATTTTTCCCCCCCTTGGCCCTGTGGTCTCCCTTTCATCCATTGCCTTATTATCTTGTCTTTTATTAGAGTCATATACCTAGTTAGTCCTTTTATAGGGACTCTGCTTTTATTTCTTAGGCTATGTTTTCTTTCAGACTGGTCTCTCATATATTTTTTATATGTCATATTTGTTCTCTTTCCCTCCCTGTTTGCAAAGTTTCCTTGTCATTTTTTTGTCTGTTTGGTTGTTTCTTTTGAGTCAGTGTCTCACTCACTCTGTCACCCAGCCTGGAGATCATGGCTCACTGCAGCCTCAAACTTCTGGTCTCAAGTAATCCTCCTGCCTCCCAAGTAGCTGGGACTACAGATGCGTGCCACCATGTCTGACTTACTTATTTTTTTGTAGAAACAGGGCTTTGCTATGTTACCAAAGCTGATCTCAAACTCTTGGCCTTAAGCAATGCTCCTGCCTCTGTCTTCCAAAGTGCTGGAATTTCAGGCATGAGTCACCATGCCTGGCTGCCATTTGTTTGTATATGTGTTTAATTGGGCAACTCTGTCTAATCCTGGCTATTTGCTATGACATAGTGTAGGTAATTTCTCCTTAAAACACTCATCTTAAATGAATTTGCCTTTCTATCCATGCTACAAGCTTGATGACTGGATATTATTTTTTTACTTTTCTTTACTCTGATGGGATGGCAAAGAGGAAGTGCTCAGATAGCATCAGAGAGTGCTCTGGGAAGCTTGAGTACTACTGCCCAAGATCTCATTAAATGTCCTCAGGAGGTCCCCTCCTTCCAGTTGGGAATTGTCCCATACCCACGGGCTTCAGCTCATTCCCTCAAGTCTACACAGCATTCTGGAAAAGAGCACATTCTGCAGAACCTCATCTCTCTTGAGGTCTTGCCATGTTAAACCCTCTCTCCTCGTGAGAGGGTTTTCTTTAACAGGATGCACTATTCAGTCTTGTAATCTCTGCTTCAAATTGGAGAATTCTCGGGATTTTGTAGACATACCTTGTGTCAGCATGCATTTGGAATGTGAGGACGGGTTTAGGTATGATGCCTCTCAGGCAATAGGGTGGCTTCCCCTGGACCCAGCACTTCCAGGGAGAGTATAGAGATATGTGTGGGTAGTTTTATTTTGGTCATCACAATGAATGCAGGTTGCTACTGGAATTTACAGGTAAAGAAGCAGGGATGCTAAACATCCTACAATATGTGGGACAAAGAAGTGTTCTGCTCCCAGTGCTCCTGTGGGAAACATTAAATTGGGCCCTGGAATAAACTGCATTGAATTTTCTTTCCTTGGAGGGCACTTACTAAAATTAATGTCATGAGGCTGTCTTTCCTCCTTCCCTCCCTCCCTCTCTCCCATCTTCATCAGAGTCTCACTCTATCACCTGCCTGGAGAACAGTGTCATGCTCATGGCTACTGCAGCCTTGACGTGCTGGGTTTAGGTGATCCTTCCACCTCAACCCAAGTAGCTGGAACTACAGGTGCGTGCCACCATGTCTGGCTAATTTTTTTATTTATTGTAGAGACAAAGTCTCACCAAGTTGCCTAGGCTGGTCTCAAACCCCTAGGCTCAGGCAATCCTCTCACCTTGGCCTCCCAAAGTGCTGGGGTTACAGGTGTGAGCCACTGTGCCTGGCCAGGTTATTGCTTTTATTGCTTGGTGTCTGGCTTTTATTTTTTATTTTTATTTTTTATTTGTATTGCTTGGTGTCTGGCTGCTGGTAAATTTTGTATTTGTTTCACTGTTTTGGCACCGGGAGAGATTTTGCTTCATATAGTCATACTAACTTTTAAGTATTTATTATTATAATTAAAGATTACTGACTACCAGGAAATTCAAAGTATTTTTTAGTTCACAAAACACCATAGATCAATTTATAAGCTTTTTACCATTTGACAATACCTTCAAGAAATAATTCATTTCCTTTTCTTAGACAAAATAAAAGTTTTGCTACTTCAGCACACTTGTGAAAATAAATGTTTATGGAAGTGAAAACAAAGTTATAAAATTTCACTAGTTTATGACTTCATTCTTTTGGTGAATGGATGCTGAATTAGTGATGACTGATCTCATTTAGAATTCCTGAAACTTGGCCATTGCGTTGTTAAACTATGGTGTGTCCACATGGCTCTTTGAGCTATGGCCACCATGTTTCCTAGCTTTGGTCCTTTCCCCTACCTCAGGGAGGTGAATCTCCTCTCTCTCTCTGTAATTTACTTTCTAAATAAACTGTATTTTCCAATAAAAAAAGAATTTCTGAAACTTGCGCATTTGAAGTAAGTAAATATTGCTAAAGTTCCTTTAAATGAGTTTTATTCAGATATATTTATGTCAGGAAGAGTCAAAAGTGGCAATGATGTCCCATATGGCATGACAAGGCCACTGCATTGGAGCATGCATACATAAATACAGATAACTATATGTCTTTTAGAAAGCCATGCTCTTTTAACTTTAACCTCAGATGACATAACATAGATGTTTTACCTAGACATTTTCATCAGGAGTAGATATTTTTAATTTCCAAAGTGAGATGGCAGAAGGGTTGGTGAAGCACAGGAGTAATCCTGTTCTCCACAAGGAGTGAGGTCAATGTGTGGCACCACAAAACCCCACTGACAGGGAAGGAGGCGGGGGCGATTGTGAGAGCAAACTTTGAGGTGAACTAGTTAAGGCTTGACCCATCAGAGACTGAAAAATATTGTATTTTTTGTTTGTTTGTTTAAAAGACTCTTCAGGAAGAAAGAAAAACATTGTAATTGAAGTTATTCCTTGTTAGGAAATAAGATAAAACCTATTCTGCAGTTGTTTGCTAAGTAATTTGCATTAGATCAGAAGATAGGACTTTACCTTAAATATATTTTTAAGGGATGAATATACTAATATGATCACTTTTAACATAACAGGGTGTACAGAATACAGTAACCTATGTTTCTGCCTCAGGGGTGAGTGGCATTCTAAGTGGAGTACATATATCCTCTCCCCAGTTCCTAGGGCTGCATTCAGTGAGAGATCAAATACAAACCTCATGTCCAACTAGACTTCCCTTAAGAAATTAGTCTTTGACTTTCTTTTTACACACTGGAATTCTGAATGAATACTTTTAGTCATTACAGAGTAGTGTATATTTTGTATGTATATTTTTAATATACAAATTTTGGGGGAATAACTATAAACTTTATAAAGAGCTGTACTCCCATTCTCTAGAACAATGCTTGCTGTACTTAAATTACTGAATAGATAAATGAATACATGGATGGACATATACTAAAATGAATAGATGAAAAGAACTTTGGTTTTGGAGTCAAACAAATCCTTGTTCCACAACTTTATAATTATCTGACCCAAAGAAAGATTTTGAATCTCTTGGGTCTTTGTTTATTCATTGTAAACCAGGATGACAACATCCACTTCACAAAGATATTACAAATCTACATTATATTAGCAAGTAAGTTCCAGAAAAAAATCTGTTGAATGAATGAATGAACTTGAGGTCCCCACTATCTATAATGTGTGCTGATGTCGGACTCTTTCCAGTTGACCTCTGTCAGGTCTTTCCATTGCTTTACTGAAGCTCCGAGAAGGTCACTGGCAGCACATGTCCCAACGGAGGGGTTGGTGAGGCAAAAGAGGGAGCCTATTCCCACAGAAATTGGCAACGTGTCTTTCCTAATTTCTTTCTTTTACCTGCTTTAGGAAAAAAAAACTAGTTAACTAGTTTCTTAGTATTCAGGATTGCTAGACAAAGCAGGAGTAAGTAGGCTCTGTGCCAAAGCATAATAAATTATGCTCTGAATAAATTTCATAATCCTTAGGAAGTATTTAATGTGACATTTGCTGCTCAGAATTTTTTGCTTTCTCTTCATTTTTAACCTGTTTTGAATAGAGTTCCTGAATGGCTTTAAGATGTATACATTATTACTAAATTTTTTTTTTTTTTGGAGTTGGAGTCTCACTCTGTTGCCCAGATTGGAGTGCAGTGGCACTGTCACAGCTACTGCAGCCTTGACCTTCTGGGCCCAGGCAATCCTTCTGCCCCTTCCAAGTAGCTGGGACTACACAGGTGTGCACCACAACACCCAGCTAATTTTTTGAATTTTTTTTGTAGAAATGAGGTCTCACTATGTTGCCTAGGCTGCTAAAATATTTTTATACTTGAAAACAATGCCTAGCAAATTCTAATGACTACAATAAAAATTGATGAACACATTACAGATCAACAGTTCCAGAAACCAAGAGCATTTGTACAAACTAGGCCGGCTCTTTGTTTAAGCAAAGACATTTTCAATTTAATCTCTTTCTCCCTATCTTAGGAAGAGTCTCATCTAGTTTTAGATTAAGATGTGATAAGTGAGGGAATTGATCAAAATTTCTGATCACAATATTCTAACATCCCTAAGGACAGCAAAAACCATTTGTAATCACAGGCTTTTCATCAAGGGCACAATTAAAAATTAGTTTTCCATCTGTGTCTTTCCATAGGTAGTAAAATAAATGGAGGCAGATATAAGTTAACAAAGGACTCACAGTAGAAATAAAGAAAAATGGAGAATGAATAAATGTGAATGAATGCGTACCTTGGCCAGATTTTTCCACCAAACCCGTAGTGCTGATGTCCTTTGCCCATGACACGGGGAGGCTCACATTTTGGCCTGTGCTCCTCTGGGAGGGAGATTGGTATTATCCCACCATATTCTCTTTCAGCGCCCCATGGACGCCTGCACTGCTGGAGTGACTCTCTTAATTCCTGGTACCTGGAAAAAAGAGAGACTTTTAAACAGCTTCACAACATAACATATGCATACTTGTACAAAATTCCTATGGCTACCTAAGAATTTTTCGATTACATTTTCAGATCACGAAATTCAGTGTCAGGTAGATTATGATTGATGCTGTTGTTTAGACATCATGGGTCTGCTGAAGGAATAGGTTGAGTTCCTGAAGGCCTTCGGGTTTTATTTTTTTCTCCCAACAGTTGTAGTGTGTTTATTTTTTAAAAACAGCTTTATTGAGATATAAATCACATACCATACAATTCATCCATTTTTTTTTTGAGTTGGGGTCTCATTCTGTTGCCCAGGCTGGAGTGCAGTGGCACGATCATGGCTCACCGCAGTCTCAAACTCCTGGGCTCAAGCAATCCTTCTGGTTCAGCCATCCAAAATGCTGGCACTACAGGCACCTGCCACCACTCCCAGCTAATTCTTAAATTTTTTTTTTTTGCAGAGATGAGGTCTCACTATGTTGCCTAGGCTGGTTTCGAACTTTTGGGCTCAAGCAGTCTTCCTGCCTCAACCTCACAAAATGCTGGTATTATAGACGTGAGCCATGCCTGGCCAGTTATTCCATTTAAAGTGTACATTTCAATGGCTTTTCAGTTTAGTCACAAATTTGTGCAACCATCACTGCAGTCAATTTTAGAACATTTCCATCATCTCAAAACAATAATCCTGTATCCTTAAGTCAACATTCCCTATGCCCCCCCCTTACCCTATTCCTAAGCAACCACTAAACTTTCAGTTTATGGATTTGCTTATTCTGAACATTTCATATAAACAAAATCATATATGTGGTCTTTTGTAATGGTCTTCTTTCTTTCAAGGTTTGTCTATGTTGTAGCTTGTGTCAGTACTTAATTCCTTTTAATGGCTATATAATATTCTATTATATGGCTATATCACATTTTAAAAATTCATTTATCAGTTGATGGATATTTGGGTCATTTCCACCCTTTGGCTCTTATGAATAATGCTGTTATGAACATTCATGTTCAAGTTTTTGTTTGAATACCTGTTTTTACTTATCTTGGAGTTAAAGTTAGGAGTGTGCTGGATCATATTATTATTCCATGTTTAATTTGTTGAAAAGTCAACGAACTGTTTTTATAGCAGTGGCACCATTTTATGTTCTTATCATTGTATGAGAGTTCCAATTTCTCCACATTCTTGTCAATAAATTCTTGTTATTTTCTGTTGAAATTTAAAAAACATTATAGGTACTCTAGTGAGTGTAAAGTGATATCTTATTGTGGTTTTGATTTGCAATTCTCTAATGACTAATGATGTTGTACATTTTTTCATGTTCTTTTTGGCCATTTGTATGTCTTTTTCAAAAAATATCCACTAAGATCATTTGTATTTTTTAAAGGGGTTGTCTTAGTTTTGAATTATTATATTTATTAATTTTTTAGAACAGTCTTGCTCTGTTGTCCAGGATGTGGTGCAGTGGCACAATCATGGCTTACTGCAGCCTTGAACTTTGGGGCTCAAGTGATCATCCTACCTCATCCTCCTGAGTAGCTAGGACTACATGTGTGGGCTAACACATTTGGCTAATTATTTATTTTTTGTAGAGCCAGGTTCTCACTATGTTGCCCTCATTAGGCTGGTCTTGAAATCCTGGCCTCAAGTGATTTTACTGCCTTGGCTTCCCAGAGTGCCAGGATTATAGTTGTGAACCACCATGCCAGGCCTTGTTTTTGAGTTAAAAGGGTTCTTTATATGTCCTAGATATAAGTTCCTTATCAGATATAATAGGCAAATATATTCTCCTATTCTGTTCATTTTCTTTTCTTTTCTTTTTGAGAAGGGTCTTACTCTGTTGCTTAGGTTGGCCTCAAGTGATCCTCCCACTTTGGCCCCAAAGTGTTGGGATTACAGGCGTGAGCCACTGCACTGCGCCTAGTCTCTGTGCATTTCTTTTCACTTCCTTGATAATGTCCTTTGAAGCACGGAGGTTTTTAATTTTGATGAAGTTAGTTTGTATATATTTCCTTTTGACGCTTGTGCTTATTGGTGTCACTATCTAAATATACATTGCCAAATCCAAGATCACGAAGATTTACCCCTATGTCTTCTTAGGGTTTTATAGTTTCAGCTCTTACATCTAGGTCTTTCATTCATGATGGCGTTTTGTTGTTTGAGCCAGGGTCTCAATCTGGCATGCAAGCTGGAGTACAGTGGCAGGATCAGGGCCATCACAGTTTTGACTACCTGGGCGCAGGTGATATTTTGTAGAGATGAGGTCTTGCTATGTTGCCCAACCTTGAACTCCTGAACTCAAGCAATCCTCTTGTCTTGGCCTTCCAAAGTGTTGGCATTACAGACATGAGCCACCATGCATGGCCCATAATGAGTTAATTTTTATATACGGTGTGAGATAAGAGTCCAAATTAATCCTTTTGCATGTGGATATTCAGTTGTCCTAACATCATCTGTTGAAAAGACATCTTCCTCATTGAATGATCTTGACTATAGATTATCTTTTGATTTTTAAGAACAAAGAGTATGGAAACAGTGCTAATATTTTAAAGGAGCTACTTTCCCGTAGATTCTATCTAGAGCTCCTATAATAATGATTCTCAAAGTGTGGTCCTTAGACTAGCAGCATAAGCAGTAGAAATGCAAATTCTTAGACCCCCCCTCCCAAGACCTAGGAATCGGAATCTCTGGGGCTAGGGCCCAGTACTGTTTTAACAAGCCCTCCAGGTGATTCTTATCTATGCACAAGTTTTAGAAGCACTGTCCTATTGCACAGATACTTTCTACTGTAATCAGATCCCAAAATCCCACCCCTTACTAGTACTAGTGGCCTGTGGCCTGGACACCTGAAAGTTTCCTAATTGGCTGTAGGGCTTAGTCTAATCTTGAACTGGCAGTTCAGACGATTTTCTCTGCTCTTTCTTAACAAAGGAGTGCAGGACAGGGACTCTATTCTGTTCACCGTTGTAATCATGCTTTACTGCTGGTAGTGCCTGGCACACAGGGTGTTCAATGGACATCTATTAAATTAATAAGGTCAAAGAGACGAATTTGTCTCCTGCACCCAGTTTTTGTGATGCAGAAATGAAATTCTCTAGCTAGGGAGAAAGCCTCACAAAAACACTTGAGGATATATCTGGCAAAAGATCTGCTTCCTAATTAGGAAGGATTTAATGACTCCCAGTTTCCAGTAATGGCAGGCAAGTTGTTTGGACCAAACTTCCCACTGAAAACAACTAAAAATGCTGGGAGGGAAAGAAAAGTCTTCTCAAAAACAACTAGTTTTTGGCCAGAAACAATAGATGATGTCAGTAACAACAGCATTTTGGGAGGCAGGGGGGTTGCTTGAGTTCAGAAGTTTGTGACAAGCCTAGGCAACATAGTGAGACTTTGTCTCTTCAAAAAATAAATTAGTCACATGTGGTGGTGTCTGCCTGTAGTCCCAGCTACTTAGGAGACTGAGGTGGGAGGATCATCTGAGTCCAAGAGGCCGAGACTGCAGTGAACCATAACATGCCAATGTACTTGAACCTGGGTGACAGAGAGAGACTCCGACTCAAACAAACAAGCAAACAAACAACAAAACCAAGAAAAGCCAACCTGTTGTGGACAAGACAGAAAGGGATATGAGGGCTCCATAAGAGGGTAACTAGGAACCCAGTAAGGTAAACAAATGCAGAAGCCACTTTCGCCCTTAGGGCAGTGCCAAGTCTGGCAAATTCACATTTTTGTTGTAAGGGATACAGAAATCGGCCAGGCGAGGAGCCTAAAGGAGACCATCTCCACAGAAGCTGGGACCCTAAAAGGCTTGTCCTCGGGTTAAAGATGAGTCCAGAGTAAACCAGCTTTCTTGTGGCCCAAGTTTGCATCCACCAAAAACTTAAACTCAGATTTTGGTGGCCCTGGATTGGTAGTATACCCCTAGGCACTTGGCAAGACAAAAAAGAATCCTTTCAGGAGGAATGATTCTTGGGGGACTCACAAGATGAATTTATTTTTATTTTTTGAGTTGGGGTCTTACTGTGTTGCCCAGGCTGAAGTGCAGTGGCACAACCATGGCTCACTGCAGCCTTGACCTCTTGGGTTCAGGCCATCCTTCCACATCAGCTTCCTGAGTAGCTTGGGACTACAAGTGTGAGCCACCACACCTAGTTAGTTTTTTGGTTTTTTTGTAGAGATGAGGTCTTGCTATGTTGTCTAGGCAGGCTGGTATTGAACTCCTGGCCTCAAGTGATCCTCTTACCTCGGCCTCCCAAAGTGTTGGGATTACAGGTGTAAGCTATGGTGCCTGACCTACAGAATGAATTCTAAAGGATGATTAGGAGTTTTTGAGATGGAAGAGAGGGAATACTCTGGGGGTGGGAGGAATAACATGTAGAAGGGTCCTAGAGGTTAGAAAGGTTATAGAATTGAAAATTCCTGACAGCGTTGGTTCTGGTCTAGAATCTCTCTTAGGAAAGAAACTACTTTTGTTTGATAAACTATTTGGCTAAGTCACTTCATGTAGACAGTCACTGCAGGTACGGGTGTTGGCAGGAGCTCAAGTTCAGACGGATGCAACTGCTCTGCAGGAGGAGGGACTTGTTTTTTGCTCTTGAAAGAGGAAAAGGAGGAAAGGGAGAAAAGGGGAGTTGGCAGGATGGTTAGGATGCTGGGGACAGCACCAGCTGAAAACCTAGTGACAGACCCCTGGTGACAGCCAGGGTAGAGAACCTTTAAGAATACTGAAGTTAGCCGGGCTCAGTGGCTCAGCCTGTAATCCCGCACCTTTGGGAGGCTGAGGTGAGTGGATTGCCTGAGCCCGCGGGTTCAAGACCCGCCTGGGCAGGCGAGACCTCAACTCTACAATAAAGTCAAAAAAATCAGCCAGGCGTGGTAGCGCATGCCTTTAATTCCGGCTACTGGGAAGGCTGAGGCAGAAGGCTCTCCGGAGCCCAGCAGGTCGAGGCTGCGGTGGCCGGGAGGGGCCACTGCACTCCAGTCTGGGTGACAGA